AGAAATAAAATAATGTAAATTGAGACAAGAAAAAACAAGGGAAATGTTATTTATAGAAATGAACGGGGGGAAGGGAGCAAGAGAGAGCAAGAGAGAGGAAGGGGGAGGGAGGAAGGTACAGAGTGGGAGTGAGAGAAAGAGAGAGAGAGAAGAGATATAGAGAGAGAGAGTGAGAGAGGGAGAGAGAGAGAGGAGAAATCGAGAGAGAGAGAGAGAGGTCCCTAATGGAATCTAAAGTGAGCTACATGCTACAAACAGCTTACCCTGGGATATAGTGTGTGATAAAATGCAAATAAAGGTTCTTGTTAATTAGACCATACTGCAGGCCTCCCTCTCCACACTGGTAACCATATTTAATTCATTATCTCTGTACCACTATCCAACTCCTATACCTTCACAATACAAAACCAGACATCCAATTTTCCATGATTGACAAACCGAGTAAGAAAATTATCTGTTGATCCCATCGATATCAGCTCATCAAAAAAGCACTGCTAGAGGACAATGACTTTTGGTTAACTGAAATATAATTGAACAGCTTAGTTTGATGTAATCCAGGGAAATAAAAATGCAATTCAAATAACAAAAGCAATTGGAAATAAATGTTTTGTTTATTTATTTCCATTTTGGGCAGGTTAATGATCTATACATTCAACTTGAAACAATCGGTGAGATTGCTAAATTTCATGTTTAGATTTTTATTGTATGGTATGAATATCCTACGTCAACATTCCATGTAATTCTGCTACTGTACATTTAAACAAGTCATGTAATTTTTTATAATTTGATTCCCAGGGGTGTATAGAATGATATGATCTTCTAGAAAATTCACTTGTCATTTTACTGAATTAAGTTGTTAATCAAACATTAACTTGACAAAAGTATCATACTACACTGTGAATCAGACGACTCTTCTAAAATGAGGATAAGGTGGTAGACAACTCTAAAAAATAGGCATATTTAAGGGATAAACTTCCTGTATCGATGTAAAGGTGGTTCTTTAATATTTCCATCTGACAGTGAGACACATATCCTTAGGATGTCATGTTTCATCAAACAGCATCTTATTTGAAGTTTCTTATTTGTCTGTGACATCTACAGCATGTACCTGGAGGGCTGGGGGTACACTAAAAGCACTGTAAATAGACACTGCCGGAATCCAGTCAATGTACGACTGGTATTGACGGTAATGTACCCTCACCATGTCCCCATGGACATATCCCTGCCTTGTTTAAACAGAGAAACAGCACCAGTATTGACATCAACCTGGTATGAATCATGACTAAAATGATATTAACATTGGAGGTACAGGTACACTCTGACTATCCTATTCTGGTATCTTACCCATGCCACACAGCTACATGTAACCGATTCCAAACCAAATCATAAACGACAAAATCTCATTACTATTTTGTTCAGTCTATTTGGGTATGATGTCGGTCTCTGGGGTTTTATCAGGTCTAAAATGACTAAAATGATATTATCACTTCAGATACAGGTACACAGTCACTCTCATATTATAGTATGATACCCCAGTCACATCACCAAACCAATCCCCAACTGACCAATGACCAACAAAAATCTCGGCTATCGTTGCATTTGGGGTAATGTTATTTCATGTTTGGTCTCTTATCAGTCTGCTGCTGGTCTCCTTGGTGTGACTGTATTATCATGAATAAAATGGAGAAAAGCTTGCATTCTCATAAGTGCATCATTTAAATACAGCAGAGGGGTGTAATGTGGTGAATGTTTTTGGCAAGATATCTGCTAAGTTTACATTATGGATACGCTCTGAGTGAGAAACAGAAGGAACTTAAAGTCGATGGTATGATAATTACTGAACACCTTTCTGCTTCTAAGCCATTGATAAGCTGATCTTCTGACTCATGTCTTTTGATACCTTTAGGATTTTAACTCTATTCACCTTTCTCTCTCTCTCTCTCTTCTATCTCTCTCTTCTTCTCCTTCTCTCTCTCTCTCTCTCTCTCTACCTTTCTCTTTCTCTTTCTCTTTCTTTTTCTCTCACTCTCACTCACTCTCTCTTTATCTCTCTTTAGGATAAGATGATCTAATATGTCTACCCAAATATGATTTCCATTTGAAGTATTAACTGGGGAATGACATCACCCCTCTCCCACCAAACCAAACCAAGTTCATACATAGCTCAAGACCTAAGGCCTTGGACATGATTTACCCCAATCAACAAACAGCATATTCATACAGAACTGAAATTTGTGGGGTCTATTGTAATGAAATGACTTGTCAGTGATGAATCATACCCTTTCTCCCTCCAAACAAGAACCTGGTCCATTGTCTTTCAATCTATATCTCACTGCAAACACTCTAAGGGTTATCCCTCTCTACAATTCAACGTCTGCTACCATGAACAATGAATACTGTGCGGTAATAACCAGTCGCTATGGTAACCGTGTTTGGATCCATATTCAGCCAGGGTAGCGTAATATGAGAAAGAGGTGAGATATAATGTTGCAATGTTAGAATGCACACATTGATTCACTGTGTCTGGTAAACAGTGTGTGAAATAAAACGAATAGATGCAATTACCTAGCAGCTATACTCAGTTTTCCGTGTATATTTTCCTCACACTGTCTTTCATTTATTTGAGTCTAAATGCAGACTGCATCTTTGCTCTTAGTCACTCTGCATTTGTAGGCATTACACATTAACACTGAGTTTACTCAATCAATTAACAATGGCATTCCGATTGTGTTCAAACTAGCACAACAATTCCTGCAATTTTGAATAGCTATCATAATATATTATCTCCTGAGAGTCAAAAGGATGCTAACACACATACCCTTTCACAGTGAGCTAATGCCTTTTTGGCTCTCAGTAGATGGTACATGCTATCAGCATAAGATGTAGACATAGAGGAATGCCTACAAGTGATAATTTGACTCTAATTAACACTTTGACTGCTCAGTGCCAGAACAGCATTTAACCATATCATGTACTCAGTTAAAGCCCATATTGCTCTCAGCACACAGTGTGTGCTATCTGCATAAGATGTAGACACAGGGCAAAGTAATATAATTCCAAGAGGAAGATGCTAATCTTGTCAGAGAAAAATTCAAAATATAATATGCCAAATTAGTCAGCTCTGACTAGATATGACCAATCTCAGTCCTGCAAAATAGTCGGTGACAAAAGAATTGTCGGTAAATATGATATTAGTCGGTGAAAAACATGGACCAATTGTTTCATGAAACGCTCTGAACTACTTTTTAAATATTCCAAAAAATATACATGTAAGGCTGACAAATTCATTTAAGTGCAAATGATAAAACATTTTGTTTGCAGTGTGTATGCTCACATTATATTGTACATAGCTGAAATCTGCTTTTATTTTCTACACCACAGCACACCACACTGATGCACAGCGAATCCCAGGATAGCTTCTAGGAGCTGCTAAAAGGGATTATATCAATTTAAGGTTCAAGGCTCATGAGTCTGACATTTCTATTTTGCACATTTACAGGTAAAAACTAAACTTTTCATGTTTTTCTTGAAGCACATCGAGCACTCAGATTGCACTGTCCATGATTGTCTGAGAGCATTGGCAGAAACCTTGTGTTTCCCTGTAGACTCTAGCCCATGAGATGCCCTATCGATGTGTTATTGAGATAACTGCAATCTTCACTTCATGAATCACTACACATGGGACTACAGGAAAGCAGTGATTTATCACCCCCTATAAATCACCTCACTATCTAATAGAGTCACATACAGCAGTAAATACTCCTAGTTTAGAAGAATAAGGCAATCCTTTGTGTTAGCTGATATGGAAATATCATTCCAAGTGATGACGTTTCAGAAATATAAGACGAGGACATTTCTCAATATACAAATTATTTTAAAAAAATCATGCAGAGGTTTTGATATATATTTTAAATTCAATTAGTAATGATTTTTTTCTTTTAAATGTAGCAGATTGATAATGAATGTCTTTACATACAAATGTCT